TCCCCACCCTTTCTCCTTTCCCTTCCCTTCTCTTCCTCTTCTTTGCATTTTTTTGTATCTTCTATTTGAAGTGGCTCGGGCCTGGAGGACCAGGACCGTCCCCTTCCCTTTCCACCTTTCCTTCCTTCTCTTTACCTTTACCTTCCTTTCCTTTACCTCCTTCCCCCTCCCCTTCTCAGATTCTCCCTTCCCTTCTGCTTCTTTCCTCCTGCCTTCCTCCTTTCCCCTTTCCCCACCCTTTCTCCTTTCCCTTTCCTTCTCTTCCTCTTCTTTGCATTCGTTTGTATCTTCTATTTGAAGTGGCTCGGGCCTGGAAGACCAGGGCCTTCCCCTTCCCTTTCCACCTGTTCTTCCTTCTCTTTACCTTTATCTTCCTTTCCTTTACCTCCTTCCCCCTGCCCCCTTCTCAGATTCTCCCTTCCCTTCTGCTTCTTTCCCCCTGTTTTCCTCCTTCCCCCTTTCCCCACCCTTTCTCCTTTCCCTTCCCTTCTCTTCCTCTTCTTTGCCTTTTTTTGTATCTTCTATTTGAAGTGGCTCGGGCCTGGAAGACCAGGGCCTTCCCCTTCCCTTTCCACCTTTCCTTTCTTTCTCTTTACCTTTACTTTCCTTTCCTTTACCTCCTTCCCCCTTCTTAGATTCTCCCTTCCCTTCTGCTTCTTTCCCCCTGCCTTCCTCCTTCCCCCTTTCCCCACCCTTTCTCCTTTCCCTTCCCTTCTCTTCTTCTTCTTTGCCCTTTTTGCATCTTCTATTTGAAGCGGCTCGGGGTTTGGCCTCTCTCGGTTTTCACCAACGTTGGCACAATATTTACCTTCTCTTTACCTTAGCCTTCCTTCCCTTGGCCCTTTACCTCATTCCTCCTTCTCAGATCTTCCCTTCCATTTTCCCTTCTCTTTTGCCTTCTGTTCTGCCTTCCCTCCTCCTTCCCCTTCCCCTTCCCCTTCCCCTTCCCACCTTTCCTTCCTTCTACCTTCTCTTTACCTTTACCTTCCTTTCCTGTACCTCCTTCCCCGTCCTGCCTTCCCCCTTCCCCCTTCCCCACCCTTTCTCCTTTCCCTTCCCTTCTCTTCCTCTTCTTTGCAGTTTTTGCGTCTTCTATTTGAAGTGGCTCGGGGTTTGGTCAACCAACGTTGTGCCCAAAGTTGTGCCCGGAATTGTTTGTTCCACCTGGCCCTCTTCTATTTGAAACCCTCCCGGCGGCAAATTTCCAAGCCCTTCAAATAGAAGATTGGCACAAGCAATTTCTTCTATCATCAAACCGCGTACTATACACCATCTCACACCTCTTCAGAACCACCCCCAAAGCATCCATAAGCAAATGTTGTAAATCCACTTATGGCCTACCAGGACCCCCCCAGTCGGGGTGGTTAATGGACACCCCTTAACAGCTAAGAGGCTATAAATAGACACCCCGACAGGAGGGTCCTGGTACTGTTTGATTGTTTTGTTCGCTTTGGGTTGTGGAATTGATCGGTATGGATCTGCCTACTCTCCTCTGCTTCGGATGGTCGACCGGCACATTGGATCGAAAACAAGGTTTTCAGAGGCTTCGATGGCGCCCAAAGATGTCTTTGATGGCGGGGTATTATATTGATGTACACCCTGGAAGACGATCCACATGGACCCTGAAAACCACTGGTTGGTAGAGGAAACGATCTTCCAGGGGGCCATTGTCAGGGTCTATGTGAGTTTTCGGGAGCGTATAAATCAGCCACACTATCAGCCACCTCCTGGGGTCTGTACCATCTACTTTCCATCCACGGATGATGGCTCGTGCTTTGGACAGCTGTGCTGCCAAGGTTCGTGTAAGTGGACAGCTGCTCGCCGAAGTGCTCGCATGCAAAGTCATGCACCAACTTGTCGATCAGGCTCTTGTCCTGGACGGACGTGCACACGGATGGTCGGGACGGGGAGAGAGGCCTCCGCCCAATGCCCAACACATCGGTGACAGGAGAGGCCCGGTTGGAGGTTTGAGATGGTTGGAGGAACATGACAGCAAACGACAACAAGAAAGAGAGAGAGAGAGAGAGACTACGAGTTCAGCGCCGAACTGACCATGATTGATCATGTTATGCAAACAATGTTGGCTATCCCTCCAGTAAACGTCTATCATATCAATGGTGTCTATTATCTCTGTGGAAACTGCAGGGCCCTGGTCTGTATCATGGCCTCCCCATCTCCACGAAAAGATTTGTAAAGATTTTCTCAGCAGTTGCAAGCCTTCAGGCTGGAGTGAACACCCTGTCCCTTCAAGTGTATAGGTCTGTTACTCTGTTGGCTAACTGTTGTGTGTAGCCACTGGCTGCTGACTCATCTGTGTGGCTAACTGGCACTGATCTTTGGCGCAGGGGCCTGATTTCTTTTTCAGCCTCTGTTGCTTTGAAGCTTCAAACTTGAGGTTGCAAAGAATTAGCTCTATGATGAAACTGACATCACCATGAAGCACGAGGGCGAGTTGATCCAATGAAACATCTCATGTCACTCATCTCAGTCATCTCATGTCGCTTCAGCATGCTTCGCCTGCGGGGGATCACTCCACTGGGTCACTGATCCTGTCGCTTTTTGGCACGTCCGACGACTGTCCTGACCCCAAAGAGTTGGCCCAAAGAGTGCCAATCCAAGTGATGGTAGCCAAACTGTCCACCCCTTCGTCCCCGTCTACGTGGGGTGTATACTGCACCCGTTCGTCGACGCTCCGCCGATGCCCCGGATTCGACCGAAGTCGATGGTCTGCCTTCTCGCGTGCGAGCTTGTCAGCAAAGACGCGGGTGCATTCCTTGGGAGCGACCCGGGTCACGCGAGTTCGCTCGCCGATTAGCTGGGGGTGTGGCCCAGCTCAGTTCCGAACTGGGCTCAGTCTTCCGGAGGCGCATGAGGGTAGAGGGTTCGAGCCAAGAGTTCTGAATATGGTGATACAGTGATACATTTTCCCAAAAAGGAATTCCTGGAGCACTGGTGCTGAGGGGACTTGGAGGAGATTCCACAATCAATCTCGTTGTTGTTGTTGGTCTAAAGCAGCCTCGGGTTCAGACCCCTATTTCACTGACCTTGTTTTCGGGGACAGCCTCGACAAAGAGCTTGGCTTCAAGTCACTTAAAAAACACCGGTTGACCCTGAAGGTCGACCATTCAGTGATAATGATGCATCAACACTATATCCCCCTCAAGGCTCTTGCCTCAATTCCCTACATGATGACAAGGCTTTGCCAACAAATGCTCTTTGGCATTTCAGCCAGGAGTTCTGGGCTGTCACTTGTCACTTGACCTAGAGGCCCCTTCACATCTCCATACGTCGTCGGGTGGTCAAATATACATCAGCGAACATCTACTCTCCCTGAAACAATCATGGAAGTGGAAAACCCTCAGCCAATAGAGGAAAACAGTCTTCCAAGGGGCCATGTGCCCCTTCCATGTTTGTTGAAGGGAGGTTAACTTAAGCAAATCTAGGATTCATGCCTCCAGAGCGAGACCAATCGCTCCTCATCATTCATCACCTCCAGCGGCGTCTCCATAATGCCTCCGCCCGCAGAAAAAGGTGCCAACAGCGGCCTTTGGTTTTTAAACACCCCCACCAATCAGCGGAATCTACTTTTGGTAAACATCCATAAGCATCTGGTAAAATCATGAATCACTTGACCTCATTCTACATTTAGGTCGACCTCAGACTCTTTCAGAAAAGGATGGAGAGTGTCAGGAGCCTCACGGCACGTCAGAACAAGTCCACACAAGTCCACTTGCCTTGGAAAACGCGGCTCAGCTCACGTAAGTTGAAGATGTAGTGGAACCTCCCCAGCGGCAGTTTTTCGCGATAGAACGAACACCAGGGTTGGCTGTTGGCGGTCCAAGCCCGAAAATTCCCAGATGACATCATGACTTAACTCTATAATGCTCTAAGATATGGTCTATAGGCATGCAGGTTATTGCCTTTCAGCCATTTGCGAGGCCATGCCCATTTCATTGTCAGCCCTCAGTAGCGCCCGCTGGCTGCCGTGGGCACCCTTGGTCCGGCCTCGCGGGCGTGGGCAGCAGCACCTTCTGCACCTTGGTCCACAGGGCGATGGTCGCCGTCGTGAGGTTGGCCGACAGCGCCACGACGCCACCATCGACGCCCAGCTTGGTGTTGAAGCGTGCGCGCAGGATGCTGCCGTAGATGTTGTCCGCACTCACTGTGGAGGGCAAGACCATGTTGAAGAGGAAGAATTTGGACTTGAGCCTGTCATAAAAAGCAAGACTTTTTACGACATCAATCAATTTAAGCTTAGTAAACTAACTATATCATATTGATGATTGTTGATGTACTACATGTTTTTTGCCGCACTCTGATTCTAGTTCAGAGAGCTTGGGGAAAACTCAAACGTCTACCAAAAATCATGGAGCATCCAAAACAAAAAGTTGCAAAACATGGCAAGGCCCATCCATGAATTGACCTTCTGACTTTCAACTTTGCCATCCAATTTACGTATATATCTAGAAATATGTACGTCCTGCTGAGTCCGTCCCAGCCTGTTGGGGATGTCATTTCGACCTCCGCCTGGATGCATCATGGCGGCAATGTAGGTCAAGTGTTCGATCCTCTTGAATTCACCGCCTGAGTGTGTCACAGTGCGTCTGTGGTGCTTCAAAATCGTTCATGGCTACCAGCTTTAGTTTAAGATCGTTTAAGTCACCACCTGATCAAATCGTGCAGTTTGGGGGGTCGGATGTGGTGGTTTGGATTGATGCTTTTGTGGGGCCAGAACTGTGTGAAACGAAGATTCTCTACATTCAAGAAGTCCTCTGTGTATGTTGAGTATATCCTATTCCCTGTAACAGTGGATGGTGATGTTACAGACAATAAAACAGCCCCAATATGTGATGTTACAGATCATAAAACAGCCCGAAGATGTAAATGATTTGTAAGAGTATGCCATTAAAAAACAAACAAACAAACAAACAAACCCTCCTCAGCCAGGCCACGCTTGTCTCGGTCCAAGAAGTAGAAGCCACCAAACTCCATGAGTTGTCGCGTCAACTCGTTGGTGACCTGGCGCCGTTGAAAGCCACGCGTTGCTCACGAAGCGGCTGAGCTGAGCAAAACGAAACGGCTGAGCTGAGCACTTTTCGAGCACCTGATGTTCTTCAGTCCACATGCAGGTTCAAGTCCATCTTACTTCCTGAAAGTATCATTGATTCCTTGAGCTACTCTTTAACATTCATTGACAGATATTGCAAGAACATCTCGAACAGGCCACACTTAGCAACATTGCAGGTTGGCTTGTTGCTCCCTGGCCTGATCTTCCCATTTGTTCACCAAAGGCATGGATGCATCATCCAAGAAAACGGTGAGTGGCTTCCCACCAGGCGGGCAGAAGGTCTTCCCTGTCTTCCTCTCCACTTCTCCTGCCGTCACAGCAGGTGACCCCTTTTTCGTGCAAGATCTCATCCCTCCGCGGGCAACAACATGTCTGCCCTATTGATCTAATACCGGGGCTTATGTGCGCACACCGTAGAATCAGTAGACTTATATATATATAGCTCATCTTGGCTCCAAGTACTTCCTATAAGAAATTCTTGCGGTGACTTCAAGAATCAGGCTCTGCCTTCAGAGACGGCACAGGGATGCCTTCAGAGACCCCATCTCCCCCGCCTTCAATGGCCTTTTGCAAGCCCAGTGGGGTGGTCGCACTCGAGAAGTTGAGGCGTTTCGAGAGCATCACATCGACGGGGTACTTGTTCAAAAACATCCTTGGCTGTCCAGGTTGTGCAGGGTGTTGCTGCCTAATGTAGATTCTTGATTAATACGCCCCCCCATATGAAGAGGATGTTCAATTGACTTTAAATTAATTGAACCAAACTGTACAGCGGTGCCGTCCGAAACATCCCGTCTAACCACCCGTCTGCACGCGAGCAGCTTGGCCGTGGAGGTCTTCGCAGTTCCCGCGGCGCCCACCATCCTGAGGCGTCGGAGCTCCGGATCGGCCAGGTCGCTTGGGGAACGGGTCGTCGGTGGACCTGGATCGGTCCATCCAGGGTCGGAGGCGCTGGCCTTGCCAAAGCAAGTTCACCTTCTTCTTGGAGGTGTCGGAGGGTTTCAACATGTTTCAATTCTCATTTCTCTTGTCCAAGTCCATTGAGTCCATTACATCTCAATGCCAAGCTTCAGGGAAGACTTGTAATTCGGCGGTGTTCGGGTCAGGTCCAACTTGGCAATCACCTCGATCAGGTACCCCGCGCGACAGGAGTCGATCGTGGGAATCAGCAAAGCAGAGAAGCGTAAGATCTTCGGGACTTTCCATTCCTTGGAGCCGGGCGAAAGCAGCGCGCGTGCTGGGGTGGAAGTTTCAATTGAAAGGCTGAAAGCAACAGAAATAGGCTGATCAGGCTGTAAGATGTTGTAAGTGGTAAGATGTACAGTATAATATATATGTATATATATTTAGAGAGAGAGAGAGTAAGTCCAAACCTAGAAAGTTCATGATGAACACAACATGATGTTTACCACAGTTTGAACATTCTAAAACAAACACAACATTGGCCATCGGTATCAAACAATATAACACACTGGTCTCCTGACCCCGAAAAGAAAGCTCAAGTGGATTCAATTTCATTCTAGCTTGCGTGGTTCGGAGTTAGGATTGGTATAGATTGGTCTTTGGAACCTGGGATCCTGTACTGTATGGGCTTGGGTGAGGCCCAAACTGCAAAGGAAACTCGTCTAGAAGGAGGCCCTGCCGTGCCATCATGGCATGTAAGGCAAGGGTCTAGAAGCCTTGGTAGTGCCAACTGGGGTCCAGGGAGGCAAAACAACACCTATAGGAGATCCTAGGCAACTTTACAGGGTTCGGCGTCTCATACCAATGGATTCACACAAAGTGGTGCTCGGATGTGACATCTGGGTGTGTACTACAGGGAGACAGACATCTGCACTGGCTGGGCCAACTGGTCTCTTTCCAAACCTTCCAGGGGGTTGAACTGGGAGGTCTTCCACACCCGGGAAGCGACCCACATGGAACCTGACAACCACGTCGGGTTGTAGAGGAAACTAGTACTCCAAAGATCCATGCCATCAGGTTCCATTTGAATTTCCCTGGGTGTAAATTTCACCCATCTTAGTCTTTTAAGAGGTTCCACCTTGCACATGCCCTTGGGTGCCCAGCATCCGCTGGTGCCCAGTGCTTCCACGGCCGGCTCCGGTCCCCTGGATCGGGGACGAACTCGAAGATGGTCTCGCCCTCGCGGCAGGGTGGCGCGTACTGGCCATGGCCTGAGGCGAGGGGCGAGGTGGGAGAGGTGCGGTGAGGTGGAAGAGCCTGAAGTTGGGAAGGAACATGATGGAATCACTGTATTTCTTCGGTTCTTGCTCCCTCACCACATGCTCAACAGCTGTCTAATATGTTTTCAGGAAGGTCCACCGTCCAGAGGAAAGTCCAGCTAGACTGAGGAAACGAACATGCCATGTCCCAGAAGCGAGAGGGCTCCAACATGCTCCAACTAGACCTTTGTCACGACATACTTAGATGTATATACCTTGGGTCTATCCGAGCTACCTGTAACAGTGGATGATGATGGTTCACTTGCAGGCATTGTCCATAAATAGTGATTTGTTTGTGCAACCGAGTCCTGTTACAGGTAAGAACGGACAAACCCAATAGATATATATATATATACCAATAAAATATATTGGATGGAACCTGCCAGCACCTGTCAAACCTGGTTGTGGGATGGAACATGCATGGTCAGGGGGGGTGTACACCACCCTTTTGGTGATGCTGCAACATCTATGAGAGAGAGAGAGAGAGAGATCCTCCTGGCACCCCACCCCAAACAATGATTGGTGAGTTTACTCTATAATTTCATCGACAGTACCGGATCCCACCTGATCATCCACACTCTGACAATTGTATTCAGTTAACTCAGTTCAAGTCAAAAGGATTGAGGGAAACGCAAGGTGACAGGGTCAGCGCAACTGAATTGTTGAACAAATTGTTCACTTGTCTGCAGAAATGCGGCTGAACGACGGCGGCTGAAAGCAGCTGTGGGAAACCTGTTTGTGGGGAAGGTATCGTGGAAGAACCATGAATCAAACCGTGGAAAAGTAGGGTGACAGCTTGTGGAAAACTTCGCAGGTACATGAGAGTGATCAGCTCTCACTTCCCTCGACACATCATAGCTTCGTTGCGTCAGGTAGATGTGTCGAGCCTGACGCCCCTGCCTGTGGAGCTGGGGTGGAGAATTGGCGGTAAGAAACCCTTTGCTCAGGGGTGGACACACACACACACACTTCAGGCCAACCCACACACTCAAACCTCATCCGCCAATCATAATAATATCCTTCAGGCATCTGTCAAGCTGACACCCTCCGATGGGCTCCCATCCGATCTTCCTCCCCCTTCTGGGCTCCCATCCTCCCCATCCTCACCTGCTTGCTCCATCACTTCGCACAGCTTGGCATGAAAAGCTTTGCGCCCGTCGGGCTCCAGTAGACCGCCCATGCCCCAGGCCACCGAGTACGCGAAGACACGAATGCATGCAGCCTCGCTGATGGCCTCCACGGGGCAGAGTTCAGCGCGATGAAACACGGGCGGAGCATGGCGGAGTGAGCACTGAAAACACACGAAGTGGTGGGTATGTTCAAGGTGGATTAACACCCCCGAAACAATCATGGAAGTGGAAGTGAAGAGGAACATAGACCTCTGGAAGATCGTTTTCCTCTATTAACTGAAGTCTGCTCAGCTTCGATGATGGTCTGAGGGAGGGTATGTGATTCATGTGGATGCCAGGGTCTGAACCAAACATCTTCATCTCAGTAAGCACATAGTAAGCACCAGGAGTGTCATCTCATTGTCTGTTAAAAATGAAGCCCCACAAATGAGTGGAGGTGCTGATATGAGCAGTATATTCAGAAAGGTGCCCCTACCAGCAACGTTGGAAGCCATGGAAGAGAGCTTCGCCCAAGAATTGCATCCATGTTTGCCTTCTTCAAAGCGCAAAAGCGCTGATTCCATTTCCCTTCCGCAGGTGAGTCAGCATAATAATAATAATAGATGCGTATCCACTAATTTTCACTCCAAAGGCCCACACCCTCCTTGAAATATCCGCCCACATGCCTCGTTCACTTGCACATGCATGCGGAGCATGGCCGAAAGCAAGTTGAGAATGTTGGCGATCAAGATCGTCTCGTTGGTACTCATGACCTCGGCTGTTCTCACGAACCATGGCTGCTTCAGGTGGACGGTTGATGCGTCATACCCCCAAAATGCTTCAGCACATCAAACAAGCATCCAGCAGTCACATGGGTGCCGAGCTTGGCGGATAGGGGTGGAACACATCCACTTCGATGGCACTACAAACCACCCAACTCCATGTGACTCCTGGATTGGCATAGATCATCAATAGACCCTAGGGACTAGGGATCCAAGTACTTTCTCAGAAGGTGATTGGAGACACTGTTATGTAGGTTTGGAGTCTGGAGGGTCCAAGTGCCTTGTGAGGTTCGGTACGACTGGATATCTAGGGAGATGGGTCATGGCACCTGGATGCCCCGAACCGGGCCGCCCTCGTCTCTTCTCAACCGAGGTGAAGCACCCCCGAGGATCCGATCAACGGATGCGTGAGAAGACCAACGGGGGGGGCGGTCGTCGTTCCTGTGCCGATCTGCAGAGTCTGGGTGTACAGAAGTGATAGCTTCCCCCCAGGGTCCGGATCTCAAAGCTCCGGTTTTCAAAGCGTCGTCTTTGAGATCCGGAAGCCTCCAGGATTCATTGAAGCCCGTGGTCTGAAGCCGGAAGGATTGCAAGGGGGGCCATGCATCATGTTCCAAATGTCAAAGCATCAATGTAAGCATTGAATATCCTTTGTTTTGGTTTTGGTGCTCTCTGCATCATTGAAAGAATCCTTTTGCAAAGCAGGGAGCTAGCTAGCCTAGCTTGATCATAGACCCAGGGCCCATCTAAAAACAATCTGCAGATTGACTCTGCAATCATGATGCTTCTCAAGAAGCATTTGAAGAGCCCTGTAGCCGACACAAGCGATGAAGGCAAATCTATACTTGCTCCCTTTCCCAAAACGACCCGCTGACACCAAGCGTGAGGATTTCCCATCAATTCCCAACACCGTTTCAACGACCTGCGATTCACTTGCACATCTTGCATGCACATCTTGCACCTGGAGAATCCTTCTGGAATGACCCAATATGACACAACAACCTAGACCCTCCGTTTTTTGTACACCAGAAAATGGATGAACATGGGGTCACGTGACATCACGTGACCCCATGTTCAAACAAACCAGTACTTCTACCAGGACACCCTGTCAGGGGCTTCTTTTCGGCCCATGATCGCCCCTTAGATGTGGTTCGGGGTGTCCTTCTTAACCATCCCGACTGTGGGTCCACCATCTTCTACCCATTTTGTGTATGCCCTCCAAAGACCGAAATGCACCCAAAGCACCCCCTTCAAGTTCCGCGCGTTCCAATCGAAGAAGTCCACGGCCACACCGGCATCCTCGGCGAACCCCGATCCGTCGGATTGGCAAAGGAAAGCAGTCCGCGCTTCCAAAAAGAATGGTCAATCGATCCGAAGTGACTTGAATTGATGATGGAGTAAGTCCCCTCCCACTGCCAGCTCCGGTCATCCTATAGGAGCCTTGGAATACCGGCCCGGCCACACCTGTCGGCTCAGAAGCTCCAAGCCCAAGCTGCGCTTTAAGGCGCGACTACGTTGGATTTGCTTAAGGAACCGGGAGAAAATGGAAACATCAATACACTCCCTGGAACTAATATGGAAGTGGAGAATGACCCCTTGGAAGAGCATTTTCCACTACAAGCAGGTGGTGCCATCCACTTCCATGTTAGTTCTAGGGAGGTTTTCCCTCTTCCCCAGGTTGGGGAATGAAACGCACCCCCAATCTGTTCCTTTTCCCGATTCAACTGCCAGTTGCAAAGCCATCCAAAGGGAAACAAAACAAAGTATCCGATCTCCTAAGCACCACCAGGACTGACCTAGAAAATCCGTGGCGGCCCGGTGGCACCGAGAGAGTCCCAAAACAGCTGATCTTGGAGGGGTCTGGTAGAAAAGAATCCCAACTCTATGATCTATCCTAAGGGGTGTCTACTATATACCAGGGCCCCCTAAGGGGTGTCTAATAATAACCCCTTAGAGGTTAAGGGGCGCCCTTAGGGGGGTCCTGGTATATGCTCCCTTTGATGTACACATTCCACCCTTCGGGTGAAATCCCCCCCAACAGAAGCTGAAACCTCTTGCTCTGCTTGAGCCAGGCGTCGGGTGGAGGCGTCCGCAGCCAGCTCTCAAAGGTCTTTCGTAGCACAGTGACTTCCTGCTGTCTAGTTGCACCCAATTCCAAGCGCTGCAGCAGCCAGCTTTCCACCAAAGGGCCCCAGCCCAAATCCTCGGGTCACAAGCTGAAGCCTTGGGTCCATGTCAGCTAAAGGTCTTTCAGGTAGGTCCACTGTTCGGTATCCTGGCGCCAAAGTGGGCTAAGACTGATGGTTTCTGGCCTGCCCCTCCCAAAGGAAAAGAAACACGTCTCTATGGGCTCAATGGGAGGCCTTGGTAACCTTGAAATGGGCTGCACTCCGAGTGAAGCTTTGGGAGAAGAGTCACACCTGACAAAGTGTTGGACAAACCCATGGTTGGGTCATTGTCAACCAAGAGGGGCACAACCCTGTCTTGATCATGTTTCTGGTGTATTCAAGGACTCCTCCTATAGTCTGGCTGGCCTCCAGCTGATACTTGCACCATACTGCACAGAATAGGATTAACTTTCTGTCTGACTCATATCTATTTGAGGGGCATATCATTTTGGCGCACCATGGCTAATCAGCTAATCCATCCTTTCACAGATTTGATTCTCAATGTCAAACACCTGCGTTTTATCCAAGAAGCCGATGTCGACACATAAATGATTCCAGCCCGCGAGACCGTGGCCGGACTGGCGTTTCGAAGGCTCTCCACCTCGAAGACGATGCGACAATTGTCCGTCATCGGAATGCGGTCGTTGTTCGCCAAGGTCAGGATCTTGTTGTCATCCAGCACAGTATTCAAATTCTCAATCCAAATCCTCAAGACGTGGAGAACACAGACATGGACATATCGTTCGACCAATCTCGGCACGTCGGATGAGATGTGAAAAGACGGCACATCTCCCAAGACAGCAGCACTTCCAAATCGAAATGCACGGAGTTCTCAAAGTGCGGGTCTGCTTAGGCTTAAAGTATGTCTATGCCCGGCCGTTTGGGGACATGAGCACAGGTGATGCAACTGGGCACAGGACTTGGAAAAACTCAAAAAACTTCAACAAAAACACCGACTTCTAGAGGATGCTGGTATCAGGGGGGCGGCCTACGTCGGAGTTTCCTGGAGTTCTCCACATCAAGTCCCTAAGCTTTCGCAGGATGCATGACCTGACTCCCAAGGCTGGGGAGATCCTGGGAACATACGGTTCCCTCCTCTTCGATTTGAGTAGAGTGTTCCCAATTTTCCAATGGTTGGACCCAGCTTATCCACTCTTGGGTGGGCGACTCCGAACCTGGGCGACGGACGTGTCTCTCTCACTCTCCAAGCCGTGACCGCGGCGGCCGGGTCCGCGCCAGGGTGCGCATCAATGGGCCCGTCACACACGATCCAGGAGTTGTACTTCGAGGCCCGGTTGTTGCGTTGCTGCCAAAGGGAGGCGAAGACTCCCGGAGTCCACTCATCACCATCCTTCACGCCGTACATCTGCGCATCCTGAGATCGGAAGGCAGCGTTCAGGTCGGCACGAGACGGAAAGGCTTGCGCCAGGTCGGCACCGCAAGGTCGACCAAGTCAAGGCCACTGGAATTTGGCGTTTGGCCCCCTTCTGCCGCGACATGAAAGAGACTCACTGAAGCGCTTCTAGACTTTGCCCTGGACGTGGGTGAAATCGAGTCTGGATGCCCTGAAGTTCACAGAATGTGCACTCATGATCAGACTTGAGAAAAACACCTGCCTACTCCTACCTCCTCTCGAGAAGGTATTTAGACTTAGACCCCCCCAAACCTATCCCGAACACCTTCACAAAGGGATACATAATAAGGGTACTGTAATTGAAGCCCCTCGGACGCTCCGAGGCCAACCTCACACATGCCCTCACCCATGGCGGTTGTGTGGAAGATCCATCTCTCCAAGCTTCGGTAATGGCCTTGGGGTTCATGACCACCAGCTTGTGTGGCGTGGGCTTCTCCGGGTCTTCGCTCATGCCTTGCGTCAAGGTTTGCATGATACGACTCTTGCCACACATCGTGGGCCCCACGAGCATGAAGCCGTGCCGGACCAAAGAGATCTCATAGAGCTGGATGATCTTCAACATCCAGGTGTCCTGCACCAAAACGTGTTCGGGCACAACATCTGGTCGGGTGCATGTTTTTGGGCATAAGCGATGCCCATGTGGTGGTTGGTTTGGTTTGGTGCTCGGAGTTCAGTTTTTATCCACTTGCGTGTCCGGACACGCACGGTTCACGCCCTGAGAAAGCCCTTCAAGCCACCTGATATTCCCCAAGCAATCCTCTCCCAGTGGATCCGCAAGCAGTGCTTCCAAAGACTAAAGCAACTTAAAACCGCAGACCTCGAAACCCAGTGGTTCCTTATATATAGTAGCTTATATAGTACAATTAGTGGTAACCATGTGGCTGCCGACTCCAGTGGGTCTCCTAGTCAAACCCCACACCCTCCCACCATCCACTTCCTCTCCTCCTTCCGCGGTTCGAACCGGCGCGGTTCACGAATTCGCCATTGGTCCTTCTCATGGAGCCGTTGGGTCTCAGCGAGGCGCCTCACGGTGTCTTCCAAGCTCTTGTAGGTCATCTCTGGCGTCTCGGTCACCTGCGTGGTTCGCAAACAGTGGGACATCTGGCGGTTGACCAACGGAGACAAGGTCGGAGAAGTATGAGTCAGTGGAATCAATCATCTCAAGTTTAAGGTTGAACATGAACATCTTGTACATAGCGATTCCTGATTCCGAGTTCGTTCTTTGGGGCGGCCATTACATGGACATCAGAATAACTCTATTCAAGGGAGCGGCCATTAAACATAATTATTCTGAAACCGCCACCCGGGTGATGCAGCCATAACTGGTCGACAGGTCGAGCGACAGGTCGACAGTAGTATCGACAGTGAAACGACAGGTCGATTGTTTGGTGTGTCTTCCATTCGCAAAGTCAAGTGATGCAAACGTCACTGTGAACAAACAAACAATGTACATTCTCCAATTTAATGGAATCATGGCTATAAGGTGGTAACATGTGGTAACTTGGGTCTATCCTGTTACCAGTAACCGTAGATAATGATGGTTAGGTTGCAGGCCTTTCTCTCAAATCCTGATGTGCTTGTGCAACCGGGTCCTGTTACAGGTATATAATAGGACCAACCCGATATATATATATATATGGAGAGAGAGAGGGAGTGTTGGATTCGAATCATGTCCTATTGAAGATCCGCCCCATTTAGATCCGTAAGAAGTGCAACCACTGGCGGCCAGGTCGTTCTTGGGAACCGAAAGAACCACTTACTCCGTGCACCTACAACTGACCTGCGCGAGAGGAAGCCTTGGGGAAGAGATCCTCCAGCAAGTTCATAAAGAGAGGAACGTCATCCGCCACCAACTTGGACAAGTTCATGTCCTCGGGCGACGGGGCATGCTGGGTCCTTCCATCTGCTCCAGCAGCATTGCATGGGACTAGATAGGAGAGGGGGGAAAACCCCAATCAATTCAATTTCGTTATGTTTCGGGGTTGGTTTCAAAAGATGCCAGAATCTCCTGAGTTGGAAAGAAACTTATCTGAAACATAAAACATGTTATTTCCGAGCGACAAACATCACACGGAATCCTGGATCCTCCTTATCTGAACTCTCTAAAACTCTCCAAACATTGCATCCGTCCTCAAGCAACCACACTATAGCCCGATCCCAATATAGACTCCCAGAATCTCTGGAGATCTCTCTCTTGCACACTCTGGATTAATAAACCCTTACAACACCCCATTGGGATTGGACAAACCTCTTTCTTCACATGCTGGGGGGCTGGGGGATTGAAATACTTTTGATCCATACATTTGAGTCTGAAGTTGATGCCTGTTTCCGACACTTACTTACAGTATACTGGGGCCATGCGCACCGGTGTCGAGACGACCGGGGACCCTTAGCTCGCGGCCTCGGACATGTCCGTGACCCACGGTGGTGGTAGTGGCATATTGACCCATCAGTTGGGGTGGTTGGTTTCTGGTTGGTTTCATGATCGTGAATCTAGGCAGGCCATCCAACTGGCGACTCTTGGCCTACACCTGGGGAGGTGAATTGGGGTGCTTGACCTGGGGTTACTTCGGTCTCGCCAGTCCCATGGTCTCGGAGGCTCCCGCACGGTGCGCATGAAGAGCATCTCTTCCTCCGCTTCACCCGGGTTCGCCCGCTTCACCGAGCCCGATTGCCGCAGCACACCTGGGATGGACGTCCCAACCCCCAACCACGGACGTCCAGGTCCCAACCCCAGGTCCAAACCGGGTCTTTGACCTCCTTAAGTCTTAATATCCTTAAGTATTGGTTTTTGCATGACCGTCTCCAGTTTTTCATGAGGTCTTTCACTTGTATAGGGAACAGTTGTGCTCTCTTTTGGTATGTGTTATCGCACCAAGAGTGGACGGCTCTCTGCGAGACGCGCGCTCTCTGGAACACTCTTGACCGCAAGTGTGACTGATCGATAAACACGTGTCGGCCCAGGGGTGAAGGAGTGGGCTGGATGAGATGTTCAGGTCAAAAAGCTGGATTTGACTCATCCTTCATCAGCCGACTCGGAGGGAATGCAGGAATGAACCACCCCTGTAGATATTTCAGGATCCATTCCCTGATTCCTTACTAAGCATGAGTCATAGGCTGTGAAGGAGTCCAAAGCCGTTCAACACTTGGATCTAGCAGCCGTTTGGGGCTCGTTTGGTACTAGCAGCCCTGCACATGTGTTTTTTTGCGAGCTCTCCACGCATGTATAGTGCCAGGAGGCTGAGGATGTTGCGCAGGCCAAAATCATAGTGGCGCTGCTTGCTCAACTGCTGCTCGCAAAGCTTGTATAAGATGTTGAACTTTTTCGCCAGTCCATCCTCAAGTCTCAGCATCATCACAGAACTGGATCACACGATGCTACCAAAGTAGTGGTGATTGATATTACATTGGGATATTCCCCTAAGACAGGTCAAGGTTGGTTCTTTTCTGGTCAATTAATTTATTGCCTTTGCTTGTAACTGTTATTCGGGGCAACCCCAAGTCTACACAAACATGGTGGCATCGAATCAGTGGTGCCGCTGCGCCAGTCACAAGAATCGACGTTTCTGCAGGTTTTTCCCCCTCTAGATGCTCATCTGACATGCAAGTGATTCCTTTCTAGCGATAGTGAAGTGGGCGGAATAGCAACAAATAATAGCAACAACAACATACCAGCACCTTCATGTCGGGGTCACCTGGCTGGAAGCCCCAGCCCACTACTATCCGGGATCTCCAGCCAGGACACCCCTTTGAAGGTCCAGGAAAAATTATTTCACTATTATGCTACTTCTATTCAGTCTTAGACAAAGGATCATTCGCTCTCCAATTGAAAGGGGGGCTCGTCGGACACGACTGTCACTCGCTGTCGGGGTCGGGACGACTGTCACTCGGTCCCAGGGGCCATGCCCACATAGCCCGCGGAGGCCAACTTCACGCGCATGATGGTCTCGCGGTTGGGCACCATCATCGAGACGCTACGGAACAGGACTTTTAAGTTCCTGCAGCGGAGCGCCGCGGAGCAGCGAGCGCAGCGAGCGCAGCGAGCGAGTTCTCGGGTGCACACTGCAGCGGCAGGGGCAGGGCGGGGTTCTTCTGTGAGAACTAGGGTATTACTGGGAGGGTCGCCAATGGAGGA